ATCAACCTCGGTTAACTCAGACACGGTATGCAGTTATTCCACTGAGGATACACCTGCTGTTTTAAGCCGTGCTGGATCCAACTCCAATTTAAGTGTGCTTTCGATGCAAACCGACACTAAATCTAGAAAAGATGACCTCTCTGACGATAGCAGCAATTTGTCCGGGGACAATGAGAATTTGTTAGCCGAATGCATCAAAACTGGTATGGCCAAGACGAAGGCAAAACGACAAATTCCAGGACACAGCCGTATCCTCCAGACAAGCACTCCTATAAAGCCATTTGCAATTAAGATCAAAGAGGAAAAAAAGCAAAATCCGGTATTTTTCGGAACGAATGACGAAGTTTCAAATTTTGCTGTGGAGAACAGCCCATGCCAATTTTCACTTAGATCGAGTCTAAGTGACTTGACTGTGGACAGTAGCATAGCAGGTCTAAGGAGAACTGATGGTGAGGGTGAATCTGCTCCACTTCCTAACAAAGTGAAACCAGAGTCATTTTCATCTGCAAGCATGGAGTCCGGCGAATCTTTTGAAACTGAGCAAGCTTTATTGGAGCAGTGCATTTCCGCCGGTATGCCAAAACGAAAGCAGATTGCTGTATTGGAAAAGGAGAAACCGATCGGTGTTGCGACCAAACAGTTCAATATGAATAAAATCATGGAGAACGAACAGTGTTCACGATTATTAGAGAAGGAGAATAGTAACAATTCAAAAAACGTGAATGTTGCGTCTGTTGCCGGGAACATAGAACAACAAAGTCCCGCAGTACCAGTTCCAGCAACGGTAGCAGACGTCGACACCATACCCGCAGAAAGCATAGTCGGACACGCGGAGAAAATGTTAAGCCCATCGAAGGTAACGTCAGCAGGGACAGATATATCACCGGACAAATCATTGCATATCGCAGAGAACTTATCGACAGATCAAACGAAGTCTGGCTCTGATAGTGCTGAAGAACCTTTGTCGAACATAGATAACAGAATGCTCGACCCCGATGCAATGATCGAATCTTTGGACAGATTCACAGCTGAACTGGTTTCTCAGGCCTCCTCGCATTTGCAAAATAAAGAAGAAACCAAATTTGTAACATCGGTAACCGATGGGGGCGGTGACACCTGGAACGATGATACTTCCCCAAATGATGTCACCTTTCCCAGCATATCCGGTAGTGCTCCTAATGTTATAACATTCAGCAGCAGCGACAAAGAGTTGGAAAATGAAGAACCCCTATTACTGGATGAAGTAGATGGCCTTCAATCAAACGATTTCTCGTCAATTAACACGAGCACTTTAACTGAATCAACGTTGATTGCTATGGAAGCCACAAAAATGGCGACAACCTTCAAGAACGAAGCGGAATTATCGTTGAGCATTACTAGTGCTGCGTCACTAGAACTAGACCAAATTCAACCCCCATCGCAAATGAACTCTTTAACCAGTAGTGCTTTAGATTGCGTCCGAAAGAGCCCAAAGTTACTTGCAAGAAAACGTTCTCTTCCAGCTGGTTTGATGGTGAAACGAGCACTCAGCAATTCATTGAATCAATGCTCCAGCTTAGAGAGTTTAGACAACAATAGTCTTTCAAATCTAGATCACATTAACCCACCATCTGCAATGATGGGTGAATTGATTGATATGGAAGGAAGTATGATCAGCGTTGCAAGTATTGAAATTGACGATGCGCATCAGACAAACGGCAAAATAACACAGCCGAATCCAATATTCAATGTGAGACAACCCACAAATATGCTACACTTAATGGCTAATCAAGATTCGGATTTGGAGAACATAAATCCGCCGTCCATCTTCAACGAGATTACGGATATGTGTAACTCACTCGCGGACATTGAAACTGAAGAAATAGAAACAACTGAAATATTCGAGGACTGTACCACTACTCTGAAAACTGACGCAACAGAGTTTTCGGACGCTACAAGCTTAACTCCAATTCAATCAGATTTAAGCAGCGTTGAATCAACGCCCAAAAAATCTAGGATAAACAGGAAAATGACTCCTAAACAGAAACGAAATTTGGTTAAAGAAAGATACAAGACCTACACGGTGGCTGCCGAAAAGATGCTGGAATGTATAAGCATGGACTCAAAAGAAGACGAAACTGAAACGGAGTCTGAATACAAAACCGTAGAGAATTATTCAACTGCCACGTATACTAGAAGCCCCAGTAAGACAACACCCAAGGAGAGGAGACAAAAAGACAGATCGAGGTTCGAGACTCAGGTCTTGGATAAAACTGTAACTGAGTTTCTTCAGTTAGAAGCCTGCAATTCCAATAACAATTCCCCAACTGAAAGTCCAACCAGGACTAAAATCAGTATTAGAAAGAATTTCAATCAAAAACGATTAGAAAATAAAGATAGATTCAAGACTCAAACGATAACAGAGTCGAGTCTAGCATCTCCTCCAATTAATGGAGATTTACACTATTTGGTCGAAAAAGAGGCTAACGTAGTGCTGAAAACACTAAGCGAGACTAAATCCAAGCCTGACGAATTACTAGATTGCGAGACACTTAGTTTGGTTTCCAATGAGGATGATTCCGAGCACAATTCTGGAAGCTCTATGAATTATAGAACTTATCACAAGAGTTGGGGAAACAATATCCCGGTAGTTCAGAGCACCATTCCAACGAGAGTCTCCTCTGACGTTGAAAACTACCATCCCGGCAATTTGAACAACGATGCTGAATCATCGCTGGATCAAGTCAGCTCTAACGAAGACGAGGAGGACGAGGCCGAAGAGAAACCAAAACCGAAAATAGTCAAACCGAGCGAAAAGCCTATCGTTGAAATGACGGTGAAGGAAGAGGAGGATGATCAGCCGAAAGGCATCCGTGGAAGAAGGAAACCGCTCTATTCCAAAGCAAATGCAAACAATAAAATGCAACCTTCGAAAACCTTGAAACCCTCGAACTTGGTGAAGAATGTAACGTCCAGTCTAAAATCGACGTCTCAGCTGAAGAAGCCAACACCTACAAAAGCACCAATCACCCAAAGTAAAACTATAAAACCTCCTACTAGTTACGGTAAACCGAAGACAGCATCTTCGAGCGCGTCCAGTTCACCAAAGGGCAGTCCGAAGCATACGCTAGATACGCCGAAGAGTACCAGATCGACTACCAAGTCGAGCACGCCGAGTCCATTGGAGAGGCAAGGCACATTTACCAAAGATGAAAAACAAACGCCGAAAACTAGTAGGATTCCGAGTGCCATACCGAAAGTCTCGCCTGTTTCACGCATTGCGAAGGCCATTACCCCGCCCAAGACAATCTCAAAAATAGCCGCGCCCACCAGCAGAGCTCATCTTACGAAGAGCGCGAGTTCGGATCGAGCAAACAAATCGCCTCCGACTCGCATCTACAACAGGTCACCAAGTGCAGACAGTCGCATCCAAAACAGCAACTTAAAGAACGGTGCGGTGAAGAAGCCCGTCGAACCAACGAAACCTCCGACCAACTCCAAACAAATAACCAGCAGGATCGCAAGCCTGTGGAAGAAGGTCGAGGAGAACAAGAAACAGATCCCAAAGAAGGATACACGTGTGTGGATCAAACATGAGAACGAGGATGGTAGCAAATTGATTAGCAGGTCTAATACGTTCGAGAGCAAGGAAGGCGTCGTATTGAGACAACGCGACGGAGACGAAGTTGACGAGAGCAAAAGGCTCTCTCGGCTAGGATCCTTCCTGGTTGTCGATGAAGATCTGTCTTTTTAATTTTAATCTTACCTTTGTGATGCTTTATATAATCGCGCCACTACAATCTTAATTTTCTGGATGTACGAGTGTTCGGCTTTCGAATGCGGGGACCACTTTGGAGAGGGTCGTCGCATTCTATCGCTATTCATTTGTTGCAAAAAAACTACTAAGCTTCAACGTCCAGTTCAAGCTTGAATCCATGCATTGATGCAATTATTTTAAATGCAAATGAATGCAGTTTAGTGAATGCATTCAAGCAGATTTTTGCTAGTATATACATATAAACGCATCACGAATGTATTTATTTTACTTTCCCAATTTTAAATGCAAATCGTATATATATATACATAGAAATACATCCAAATATTTTTCTTTCTGAATGTGAAAAATCGTCTTGATGTCATTTTCTTTTTGTTATTTTTTTTAAATGACTATTCGCGCATTTTAATTCTAGTCTAGTCCAAGTTTATGTAAAGACTGTAATATGTACATTTATTTGAAACTATTGGTAATTTGGTGATAATATAAATATGGATATAAAAGAAATCGATGTAGAGCAAGAGCATATAATATTGTCTGTATATATATATATTAAAAATATGTTAGATTTTAGGTACTTTCTTTAATGTATTTTAGGTTTAATTTAGTTTTAAGTGGTTAATTATGAAATGTAGTTTTTTAAGAGAAATTTGTAATCGTATACATCCTATATATTATATATATTTAAAGAGAAAAAAAAAAACAGGGGAAAACAAAAGGAGGAGTGATGTGAACAATCGGAGTGCTTCTTTTCTACTTGTATAAGAGTAAGTGTTGCATCGAAACGACGTTTTTCTTTTGCTTCCATGTTATTATGTATTAATTTTTTTTTTTTTTCGTTCACTGTTGCCCACAATTTATTTATTATCAAATTTTTATCTTTTCTTGTGTGTGTGTAACAGGTAATATTTGTTATTATTATTGATAAGTAAAACAGTTAATTGCCCAGAGAAACAAAAACAATAATTTCTATTATTTATATCTTTCTTATTCTCTCTATAGGTCTTTCTTTACTACTGTAGCGAAAACTGTGAATAAATATTTCAGCAAATTCTTTTCCAACAAAATACAAAAAAAAAATCAAACCAAAAAATAGACAAGGTTTTGTTGAAATATAAAAAAAATGCCTTCTACTTTATTAATTTCCTTAAATTAGTTCGAAACTTGAACTTTTGCTATATAATAACTTCCAATCCGTGTAATCGATTCAAGAATTAGGAATTAATTCGTGGATAAATGATGAAAATAAGCCATAAATATCTCGCTTTATTTGTTCAAAAAATCGCATTTGAGACAAATCTATATTAGTATTAGTTATTTTTCTTTTCATCTTCCCTTTCTACAAATCACAATATGTTAAAACAAAATAATAGTGAAATCAATGACAAAGAGTACAAAAATTTGAACATTTCTCCAAAGCCGCACCATGATGGTGCGACATTTTGTTGGTTAAAAAAGGAAACATTGAACAAATAAATATGTACGCAGCACGTATACATATATATACACAATATATATACGTACCATGAATAAAATTAACGATTTCTGCTCTCTCCAGTTTCTGCCCTAAATGAATCATTGCTGCATGATCATTATGATAGATAATATTTACAAAACGAAATTGACGGAGAGCAGTGAAAATTTAAAAAAAAAATGAATAGAGCAGCGCTTGCAGGCGTCTACTCTTAGAGCATTCCGAAGCCCTTAGAATAGTTTATCGCCTTGATGAGCCTATCCTTCAACTTCTCTTTGGTGAGATATTCAGGCAGCAAAAGTACATTGAAGCATGTATGCGCGGTGGGCAAGCGATCCGAGTCCGGCCCATTTCTGGCGATCACCATCTTCAGTTTGCTCAGACCTCCAATAGGAACTCGATCCGATCCCGTCGTGAACTGCAAAAGTTTCCTCTGCTCCTCGGAGGAGAAGGCATGAACAACACTCCAAAAATGCCGAACGATCAGTGTACTGTTCGTGTAACCGCCGTCGTATTCCGTGGCATTCTCCAACTCAATAAAATCAAAGTTCTGCAATAAAACAATAACATTAGCAAATCATCAACAGAATTAAAATAAATGTCATATTACCTTGCTTCCGCAAATAAGTAACTCCACTTCTTCTGGACGGAACAACATCTCCAATGGGGATTCATCGACCACCATTTGGAAACCTTTGTAGAATGCCTTGAATTGCTTTTCCACTGATTTATTAAGCAAAAAGTCTGCGTACAACTTTACGAACTCGCGCTTATTATTCTGATTGACCGCAGTCTGGTCGCCGTTCTCCATCAGATCGTGATGCAGCAAAGTACCGAACACATCCTGATAACTTACACGGAAAGTCTGCATGAATACATCCTCGATGTCATCCTCTGTATATTCCAATAACTGCTTTAAACTGTTGTACAAAGTCTGAAATAGAAGAAATAATATGAATCTGAATTGAAAAATCTAAAAGGTGATTAACTTACAGGATTCCATTCAGCTAAGTCTTCGAAAGATCCTTTCTTGCCCATAAGTTTCCTATAGAGAACCATTGGGAAATTAACTGATAAAATTACATTATTATAAATTGCCAAGCCCAAGACTACTCCAATCAGGGTGAATTGACTCTCAGTCTCAAAGCTGGTTGGGTTGAACCAAGTCGTTTGCGAGTCGTTTTGAAAAGTAAACATAGCGTAATCAGGATTGAAGATCTCTTCCACGACAAGCTGGAAAAATTCTTTAGAGACACCGCCTTCATCTATTCCTTGTTCGCCCTCAAATTCCACGACTAGTTGCTTCTTCAAATCGATAGGATTCTCCAGTGCGACCATCTCGAGCGCTACCAGAGCGTCGTCAATGATGTGCTCGCGTCTTACTCGCAACCTTAAATAAGGACTCGTGTTCGTACCAAGCGATACGTTCTGCAGGAAACTGTTTCGTCGTTCCGAAAACATCCTTATCCTATTATCATAATACAGTCCGAGTGTCTTCGTCGCCGGTGTCAGTATGAATGGATACCGCATAAAACTAAATTTATGTATATCCCCCTTGTAGTTAGCAAAATCCTTGTCCATTTCAACGACATCACTCAATGGCTCATTATAGAATTCGCTGAACGGTAAGAAAGGCTTACGGCAGTCCAGGACATTGATACCTAACTGCGCAGCAAGCTCATCAACTGGCAGCACCTTCTGGTGCAATTTTCTTCCCAAATTGGAAAGATCTGTTTCGTCGTCCTGATTGAGTTCCGGGGACTCCAGTGCCCCGGCCAATATATTGGAGTAATAGAGAACCCTCATGATACTCGTAGCCGCCGTCACGACGTTCTCGTCTTGCACGAAAAAATCTGGATGAAACTGCGAGAGTATCACTCGGAGTGTTACAAGCTGGTGCAGATTCTCAAGGAAACTGCGAAGACTTGAACATCCAGGACCTGCCCAAGCATACGCTAATTTTGCTTGTATATCAACTGTTAGCCACTTGGTGGCTCTGCAAAGGGCTGGAAAAGCTGTCTCCAGGAAATCGCCAGACCCCAATGCCGGTATCTCGAATGCCATGATCAGAACATCGACGATGTCATCTTCGCTGCACGTCTTCGGGTTTCGAGTCTGCAGCTCCATCTGCAGGTATCCAGCTAACGAGACGAGTGCATTCACCATCGCACTCTCGAATATGTTGTTTGGCAAATTAAAAAGCGCAGCATATGACCTCCTCAACGAGGGGTAGTCCAGCTCCATGCGCTTTCGGACCCCTTCGCAGCTCGTAGCATCCACACAACTATCTTCATCTTTGTCCTTCTCGCCTTCTAGAGATCTAACGTCCTCCTTTTTCAAAGTCATAAAATCACCTGAAAAATATATGATTTTTAATATTAGCACTTGTTTCATTATTTTTTATATATATTTATTACCTGTTGCGATATCCAGCATTGCATCAATAGGTGTACTTGGTGTCTGTCTAAAGCTCCGAGTGAGTGAACTAATGTTGCTAAAAACCTGTCCCAAAGTTCTAATCAACTTTGAATACTGTTTACATGTTTCGCATTCATCAATAATCTCAAGAAGTTTTTCTTCTGTTAAATAGGGTACTGTTTCATCTAAAATTAGGAAAAAATAATTAGAATAACTATAATATATTAAAAAAAAAATCAGTGAAGAAATAATGTTAATATTGATAAAAATTCAAAGCATTAAATAACTGACTAAAGTACATATCATCTCAAGATATAATTTAAATACAGTGGGACCTCGCTTAACGAGTTTAATTCGTTTAACTCGTATAGTGAAACATATTCAAAAATACACATATTTTTAAAAATTATGTAGCAGGCGCACAATCCGGGACTTCTCTTCTCATAAGCGAGTCATTTTTCTTACAATTTATTTTGCTCGTTAAGCAAAATGATCGTTAAGCAAAATGCTCGTTATGCGAGGTGCTCGTTAGGCGAGGTTCCACTGTATATTGAAAACCATCATAAAATTGTAATTGAATAAATACCACAAAGTTCAGTGTTCTCAGTGAAAAAATATCCTCTTGTTTTCATTTTGTTCACTGTTTATGTTTGATAAAAATAATGATTACTTACCGTCTGTAAAACTAGTAACTGTACTATTTGCTTTGCTTGTTGATTCACTACTAGATGTAAGTGCCATCTCATTGCAAGGTACAGCCAGTTGTGTAGTGTCCACTGAAGAGTTTGATTCCTCATTGTTTGTTTCTGGTAGAATGGAAATAACAGAATCCTCCTGGGTGCGAGCCATTTTAGTAGGGTGTCTTTCACACAGTTGAGCCTCTTTGGAAAATAACTCTATAGCCTTAGCAGCAGCTTGATTTGGTGTGATGTTGTTCACCTAGAAGAGGAATGGTGTTTGAGCTCAAAATACAAATGCTCTGAGTATATATACATAAAAATATATATACTGGTGGGGGTAATTACCTCCCCACTAGATGCACAAAATTTATTTTGGCACTGGGGGTTGCCACAACCATCAGTCAGCTGATAAAAATAACGCTCAATGAGCTTCTTTGCAGCTGCCCTCTTCATTTTATTTAGTATGTCACTAGACGAGGCCTCTTGGTCATTCCTGCAAAAACTCAATGTCATCATACATGTTTTTGTCAGGGCATAAATAAGATGGACCAAAAGAGATATAGAGATAGAAGTAAATAATAAAAGAGAGAAACATACAAAACTACAGTGTTAAATGAGGTTTTTGGCTTCGAAGAAGGTGAACAAAAATAAATAAATGATATGGTACATATCCATCGGATGAGTGAATGTGTGTGAGAGAGAGAGAGAGAGAGAGCAAAGGGGCAAATAACTTATATGTGCAGGAGGATGACACTGAAATATGACATTTACATTTAACCTAGAAAGGACACAAACAGGACATAGTATTTGGAGTGAAAAGCTAAATACATATACGGCACATATTTTTAGTAGGTCCTAAACAGAATCACTTGCAAGAGTTCTTCTGAGGAGTGCCGTCGTTGTCGCTTCCTGGGATTCTTTTTGATCTCTTCATTGGACATGATTTCTCTACCAAAACAACCTCTTAGATCTCAGAAAATTATTCTATCTCGTATCATAAATACTTTGATATGGAGGGTGTGAAAAAATCGTTTTCCAATGTATTCTTGTTCGCGTGCATGTAATGAAAGTATATATAGTATGCAAAGTGTATAAGGAATGCGTGTGGTGTGTATGTGTACGCGATTATTTGGTACATATATGAATTTCTTGAATGTGCGAGGGTGCACGGCTACCTTGAAGCTTCGTCTTGGGGATGTTTCTTGTCCGCAGAGCTCATAGAACTTATATATATTAATAAACACAACAGAAAAGTTAAAACAATTAACATACTAGTCACAGCACTGAAGTCTGCCTCATTACATATTATATTTTTAGTTTATTGTTTATTCCCGAACACAAGTCGAACGAAACGGAAACACGAACAGAAAGAGACGGGAAAACAAGACGTTTCGAGCACGACGCAGAGGTACGAGCTTTGTACGTGCACACACGAACTGTTTTTTTAACAATTATCGATACGAAACCACAACTAATTATAGTTAACTTTTCCATGAATCGGGAAAACCTACTGGCACTGCCGTCACCGTATTCCAGATAAATTCCCAAGATGTCGCTAATCAAAATTTCCTATTCCTCTTATCATTTCAAATATAAATAACCTGAGTCAATTAAGAATATATTTAATAATTAATTAAGAATATATTTCAATTTTTATACCAAAAACTTTAGGTTCGGTTCCCAGTATTTTCAGGTAGGCAACCATGGCTGTTCCTGGAAAAGGTCTGGCCGCCCCTTTAATACAATAGTATTATACGGGCCAATAAAATTGCTGGAAGCAATACACATAAAAATACTTATATCCCTGATCATCATTTCAATTTCTTTGAAAATTTGTGTTACAATAATATCTGAAAGCAATAAATATTCATAAAATTAAATTAAACAATTAAAATTCATTAAAATTAAACAAAAAAGTTAAGATTTTTTTTTTGGAAAATTACTTTTTCTCAAAATTACATGAAAGCAATATTTCTAAGCTGGGTACATTTAAACTTATTACAAGCTAAAATGCAAATACTACTTTCTATTTATTGACCAATATAAATTTTCACAATTACATTTTACATTTCCATGAAATCATCAATCACTGCAATTCCAGTAATATGGTACAATAAAAAAATAAAAACTTGAGCAGAAATAAGAAAGTTATAAATAAACTTTATGTTTCTAAGAAAAACAAACCATTAACCAAATAAAATTCTTCTTATTTTAATTAAACAAAAGTATTCTTAAAGTAAACAAAAAAATACAGTTATCATCATCTTCTACTCTTTCCACCTTTCTTGCCCTTTCCATGGGTCTGCTGCTGTTGGTCAGCCACTGGTTTAGCTTGCCTAGTCTTCAATTTAGGGATCATTTCACCTAAATGTACCATCAGACTTTCCCTGGTTGGAAATTTATCACTGTACAAAGTGCCATCATCATTCTTCAATTGCACGCGAATTCTTCCTCTGTAGAGCAGCTCCTTGCTCCTCTCCCGGCTGTACAATTTGTTCTCAACTCCTACTTTCAGACCTGCAGCGACAAGAACATCACGAATCTCCTGGTGAGTAGGGTTTTCTACACAAATATTCTTCGGAATCTTACGGCCCTGAGCCAACGTTTTCTTATTGTTTATGTAAGCTGGATAAATGCATACCCATCTGATGGAGAAATTTCATTAGTAAAGTCAATACATATGGATTTCTAGGTTAGAGTTAAATACCTTTCGAATTCGCTGTGAGTTTTGTCTGGACTCCAGGCCAAAACTCTGCTTGCAGATGGACCTGACATTCTAGCAAAACTTGTTTAATTAATACTTTAATTTGCAAACAGTCGCAATTAATAACAAAATTGATTTTTTGATAGTGATACAATTCCAGATGACATGGAACTTGTGTCAAGTTGTTATTGTAGGCAACTTTATTTACAAAAACAATACTTTTAAAAAGAACTACTTTCTAGAAGTAATTACAAATATTTATATCAAAAACCTATCGAAACGAGATGGAAACTATTTATTTGGTTACTTTTTATATTCTATAATTCAATGTTTATATTTATAGTTGTAATATCATTCAAATTAATTCTAGAAAGTAGTATTTTACTATAAGTTTCTTGTAAATTTTTAAGAAATATGCTGAGAAGGAAGTTTTAAAGTTTAAGAAAATATGTAAGAATTGAAAATTATAAATTTTAATGTTGTAATTACATATTATTTATGGTATATGAATGTACAAAAATGTTCAACAGGTAAGGAGAGGAAAGAGAAACAAACTGTTGACTGAATCTAAAGCAGTAGAAACCAGTCAGGCAACAGCTTACAAATTGATTGAGCAAAATGTCTTTTCAACTCCCAAAAAATCAATCCAATTTATATATGTCTTCCTACAAACATCCAGTCTACTAGATCCCCACACAAAGAGATCATTCCTTCAAGTATTTCCTGCATCTTTCATTGAAGACTTTGGAGGTCCTTTCTTTCACCATATCCTCAACACTGAGTTCAACTTGCAGCATTCTCAGCTAAAAAGAAAGAATATTTAACTATGTTCCATTGAAGGTGGTTTAATGTGCAAACAAACCTTTGTTTGTTCAGCTCGCAGAGATTTTGATATACTAATATCACCTAGATCAGTCTCACGTTGCTCTCTGAGTTTCTTCACGCGATCAGCAGAAACTGTGATGCATTTCTTGATTGCTTGTTCCCTCTGCACATTGCCCTCCTGAATCTGACCCTGGAGTTCCTTGCAGGATTTGCTTGCATCTGGATGGAAAGAATGCGTCGGTATAGCAGCGTTGAGTGTGTTTATTATGATATCGTCCACTTTACGCATATTCTTTAATGCATCCTGTAACGTGATTTCGGTGGATGAATTGTATTCAATTCAAAATGTGAATTAAACTTTACTTGAAATTCGCTAAAGTCCCCGCACTCCATAATGGCACCTGGCATAGTCTTTAATTAAATGCTAAATAAAACGATAAAATAACGAGGAGAAGGAATTAAAAGAAATTTTGAGAAAATAATAATTAAAAGAAAATTAAAAAGAGGTTAAGGTTCGGAAGAGATTAATCTATAAGAGTGAAGTTGCATTATTCAAAATTGGAAAAATCTCAGAATCGTGCTATTACTCAATAGAATTTCCTGGAAGCGTATTCATCAACTACCATACTTTAAACTTAATCTGCAAATTTTAAGTACTCGTAATTATTAATTACTTTGTATTTTTACTATTTTTTATTATTATTATGTTGGTTTATGGTAAAGTACAATTTTCCGATAAATATTTTTACATAATTTTTAATCATTCGTATATTAATTAGTTAAATTAATTAGACTAATATGTATTTGTTTGCTTGGAAATTGAATATAGAAGATGTATTAGAGCTAGTGATATTTTATGTCTTCAGGTTGTTCCAGTTGAACCTTTAATTCATCGAATTTTACCAACTTCATTCATTGGAAGGTTATGGTTTTATGAGGTGAGGTATTGTGGCAGTGAGCAACGAAAAATATTTATAAGGAATTCGCAGCTCCTAGGGTGGTGAAACAAGATTGAAAGTAAGTAAAATATAGTCAATTTATTACGTAAGCCTACATGAAAGTCCCATATCGAAATAATCGACGGTCAAATCCGATTGCGAATCTTGTCTGTCTCACTCTCCTCTCTCCTATATGTCTGTCTGTATGTGTGTGCACTAAAGAATCATTACACTGACGTTGTCATATCAATTTTCCCCATTTCGTTCGCACGCTTATCTGTTGTGCAATTAATTAATTGCTTTGGTCATATTCAATTGTAATATTCTAAAATTTTAATTTGATTCAGATGTCCTCCTCTGCACACAAGCACCGCTACAAAAATCCAACTCTGGACTCTGCAGAGTTGAGGAGAAGAAGGGAAGAGGAAGGCCTCCAGTTGAGAAAACAGAAAAGGGAACAACATCTGAACAAGAGAAGGAATGTCAATGCTGCCCTCCTGCGTGATGAGAATGATATGCAGGTAAGCTATATGTTATGTACTGTCTAGATGGATTCTGATCTATACAGTAGTGAAAAATTGAAACTTGAAATTAATTTCTATTGGGATCCTGTTGATTTATTGAGATTTTCTCTTCAGGAAGGAGATTTGACATTGGCTTCAGAGCCAATGATTACACCAGACATGGTTAGGGATTTGTCCAGTATGGTTGTGCAAGATCAGTTGCATGCTACACAGAAATTCAGGAAGCTCTTGAGCAGAGAACCCAATCCTCCTATTGATGAAGTTATAACAACTGGAATCGTGCCTAGGCTCGTTGAATTCTTGACAAATTCGAATAATTCTACTCTGCAAGTAAGTGAATTAAATCTTCATTTTATTATTGCGTTGTATTAATTTCAATATGTTGTTTGTTTATAGTTCGAAGCTGCATGGGCGCTTACAAACATAGCCTCGGGTACATCTCAACAGACTCGCATGGTTATTGAAGCCGGAGCTGTGCCCATTTTTATTTCTTTGCTGAGCAGCAAACACGAAGACGTGACGGAGCAGGCTGTCTGGGCTTTGGGTAATATTGCTGGCGACTCGCAGGATTGTCGCGACCATGTATTGGATTGTGGAATTCTTGTACCATTGTTGCAGTACGTACATTAATTTAGATCGTATATGTGGAAGTTACATTTGTTATTGTTTTGTGCAGGTTGGTAGGGCAAAATATCCGGGTGACGATGGCTAGAAATACAGTTTGGGCTCTGTCGAATTTGTGCAGGGGCAAAAACCCACCACCGAATTTCAGGCAGGTGAAACCTGCTTTGCCCGTGCTCGCTCGTCTGCTGTTCCATGGTGACGCCGACGTACTCTCAGACACCTGCTGGGCTTTAAGTTACCTGTCCGATGGACCCAATGACAAAATCCAAGCTGTGATCGATGCTGGCGTGTGCAGACGACTCGTCGAGCTGCTCATGAACGAGCATTTGAATGTCGTTTCTGCAGCACTAAGGGCTGTCGGCAATATCGTGACCGGCGATGACATCCAGACACAAGTGATCCTAAACTGCGGCGCTCTACCATGCCTTTACCATCTCCTCAGTTCGCACAAGGAGACGGTGATTAAAGAGGCTTGCTGGACATTAAGCAATATCACTGCTGGCAATAGGCAACAAATCCAAGCGGTCCTCGACGCAAACATATTCCCCATACTAATTGAACTTATGATTAAAGGCGAGTTTAAGACGCGAAAGGAGGCTGCCTGGGCTATTACGAATGCCACCAGCGGCGGTACCCCGGATCAAATCAGGTACTTAGTGGACGAAGGATGCATCAAGCCGCTGTGCGAACTCCTAACCATAATGGACGTGAAGATTGTCCAGGTCGCTCTCAACGGTTTAGAAAACATCCTCAAACTCGGCGAACAAGACGCCAAGAATCAATTAGCCATGAATAAATATGCCATGCTTGTTGAGGAATGCGGAGGTATGTCACCATTCATAAATGTTCCACTTCATATTTTCATTACATTAACTAATATCTCTGTTCTCTTTGTTTAGGTTTAGATAAAATTGAATTTTTGCAATCACACGAAAACATTGAGGTTTACCAAAAGGCCTACGACATCATCGACCTCTTCTTTGGGGTGGAGAGCGAGGACGGACGTGTGGCACCATCCGTCAATACCGAGCAACAGCAGTATAACTTCGGCGCAGACCAATCGGTGCCGATGGGGGGATTCCAATTCTAAGTATACATTTGAAACTCTCACACCCAACACAAATGCAGCAAAAAAAATCTATATATATATATAATCGATGTTATATAATCATATAAAAGGTTCGGTTCCCAGTAAGATTTTATTAAGAGTGGAGTCTTTTGGAGAAAACATAGGATCAGAAGAGACAAAAATGAGCAACTTTATATATGTATATTATATTTATATAGTACCTATATATACTACATGGTAGATTATTAAATGCGCGTTCGCCTCACACAGTTATTACTGCTGTTGTTAGTAATCTGATTTTAACGTAAATTTAGTAAACGCCCCGAACCCCACCCACATTATTCTTTATTTAGTTAATATTTTGTGTTATTATTTTTTTCCTTTTACCGTCTTTGACCCGTGATTCGTCACCTAGTGCCGACAATTTAACAAAATTCTAAACGAAATTGCAAAACCGACGTAAACGTACATTTGCATTGCAATCTTAGTCACTATTTCTATTGTTACTTAATATTAATTTATATACATATTATATATATATTATTGTTTTATCTCTATCTCTCGTCTCTCCACTAGAAATATTTATATGAAAAAAGAAACCTTATGCGAGCTAATTTTATACTAGTATACACTTGGGATTCTCATTGTGCTATATCAAGTTTTGACATATGATCTATTCACGTGACGCCTCTCGAGGTGTTCCGTTTTATTATTTCTTTATTAGATAAATATGTAATTGATGTAAAATTCTTTATACGAAAAAAATGCATGTAAATAATTGGTTTCTTTGATTTTCCTTTTCGTATACTGTATAAAATGTTATTGCTTCAAGCATAATATTATTTCTGTTTATAGTTTGTACCATAAACTAATAAAGAGTTTAAAAAATATTTATACAAATGAATTTTGTCTATAATTTTCCATCATCAGTACTCACTATTTCTTATTAATTTTAGTCCTCTTCGCTAATTTCAGGTTCTTGATTTGTCTTTGGATCCTTCTTCACTTTTCTCACGTTTTCCAGTGTACTCAGACGTGAAAGTAATGTAGCTAACGCTTCTGTCGTCTTGTCCAAAGCTTTTTCAATTTCCTCCAAGCGTTCCTGTTGCCTTAAGTTCGTTTTCGTAATTATGTTTATGTTAAATTGCGAAAAAAAACTTACTTCATGAAATCATCAATTGCAACCATAGGTTTATCTTTATCCATATCCTTTTTGCGTCTGTCCATTGTCGGAGCTGAAAAATAATAATTGAAAACTATCAAATTAAGACTAATTAGCTGGTATTACGCGTCGGATCAATTTTTCCTTCCAACACTTCTAATAATCTGTTCACGCTATACTCCTTGACTTCTGCATTCGGTTTGATGTTATACCTAGCAAAGAACATTTCGATCTCCATATCAGAAAACCCAATGCTAAAACCCACAATTAATTAACATATGCATCCTAAATCAATAATTATTTACTGTTTCAATGCAGCGCGAATTTCGCCTGCAGTCATATCTAGTTCGGTTTTTTGGACCTTCTCTTTCTTAACCAGCTTTTTCAAGCCCATTTTCATTAAGATATTGTAATAACCGCGCTTTAAAAATCCAGTCATCTGCAATTCTTCTGGAGACATGGCTATCTCTGTTTTCACGTCTGTATATGTATCGTTGATGATAGCTAGAAACATATTCTGAAAAGATATTATTAAAACAGAATTATAGAATACGTTAGATCTGAATACCAATAAGACGAAAAACACGAGGAATATGAAGCAAATGAAGAAAATTGGTGCCAAAATCCTATTCGCCGTTTCA